TACTTGGCAAAATTATTTTGTTTCACTGTAGTTTTGACCCTGTTAATTAGATTCCAGGAGGCCCTGATGTGATGAACAACAAACTGTGGCACATAGTCGATGTCCGTGATGTGGCCGATGCCTTACTTTTGCTGTACGAAAAACCAGAATCATCTGGGAGATACATTTGCTCATCAGATCACATCTGCACAAGGGATTTGGTGAACTTGCTGAAGATGTACCCAAAGTACAACTATCCCGAGGCCGAGTTTAGTTCCAAACTATTTCTTCAAACTTTTAACTTTTTCATCACATCAAAATTTTTCTACACACAAACTTTCAACTTTTCCGTCACATCATTCCAATTTCAACCAAAGTTTTAATTTTAGCGTGAACTAAACACACCCTAAATAAGTAGGTTAAATTTCCCTCATACCAGTTTCTGTCAAGACTCAAGACTTAGAACAACATGGAATAATCCTCATTGTGTCTTCAGTATTTGCATGGCTTGAACAAATCTTTAATTTGCTTCTACAGCATCCCTGATGTGGAGCATAAAGCGTCATTGACATCGCAGAAGCTGATGAGCCTGGGCTGGGCGCCAAGGAGGCTGGAGGAGACGCTCTCGGACAGCGTCGATTGCTACGAAAATGCAGGCATTCTGAAGATTTTGGATGGGCATCCTTGCCGACTTCCCCATCTCTTCAGGTTGTCTGCTGACAATTGAACCAGCTGCAGTGGCATATGCAGTGCTTCATATCGTTATGGTCTCGTCCTCGCAGAGCCTCAAAGTCCGGCAATATAATTAATGAAGGATCATCATGTAGTGATGATTTTCATGGTTCCAACTCCCAGCTGTTCCATTTATATGTCTTTTAGTATGGAACCTTTGATTCTGTGTGCATATGTTAATGATAATCACGACCTCTTGTTGTGTCCTTGTAGATGCCATGACGGCTGCGCTTGTCTTTTCCTTCTCTTCTGGCCCCCTTTTCTATTTCATTATTATTTTTCGAATAAGGGGGCAGGAGGACTGCCTCTTTTTCATTAATATTGGAGGAGAGAAATGGTTTATTTACATTCTTATCTATTTCAGTATGGGTTCTTCGTGATGGGCTTATATATGATTCCTGTTACAGGCATCCAATACCAGGGGCTCCTAACGCGTGCAGCTTCGCCGAGGACGCAAGTAGCATAACGTTTTATAATGAAATAATAAACAAATTATTAAGTTTAATATTGTAAATTTAGAGTTGACAGTTTTAAAAGTGGAACGGAAATATTAAGATTTGAGTTGAAATTACAATTTTTTTAGGTACAAAGTTTATTCTAAATTTACAATTTTGAAATAAAATTTCAGTTGAAAAGTCTATAAAATATTATCTTACTCAAATTTAAAAGTACTTAAAATTGTTTTTTTAAAAATAAAATCAAAATATACAAAAATAATTTTCAAATAAAAATTTCGAACAAGGGAAAATTTCATCTATAGTACAAACATTTTGCTAATACCAATAAATACCCCAAGATTCTCCTAACTTCCAAAATTACCACAAACGTCAGGTACCATTGACCGAAATAGACTCCGTGACTTTCCGAGACAAAGTTTCCTGCGCCTCCTTCCTCTTGTTATGCATCTTCTCTCTCACCAGTTGTCCCTTACCCTAAAATCGATTCAAGTATCCACAGCGACACCATAAATCCATCCCCAAGCCCGAAACCCATCCCCAAGCATCACCTTGCGCCATTGCCATAGATGTGGACTCAAGGCTCGAACAGAAAACTGGTGAACAACGAGGAAAAAGGGAGAAGATACGACAGATTAAAGAAAAGGGCGAAAAGACAACTCAGTCTTTGGAAAGTAGCGTCGTATCCCTCCCATTAATTTCGTTGAGATTTGTGGTATTATTTTGGAAAGAATAGGGTTTCGTTGTGGTATTTCTAGAAAGTGAAAGAATTTTGTTATATTTATTGGTATTGACAAAATGTTTGTGCCATAGATACAAATTTCTCTTGGAACAACTAGTTCAGTTTTTGACAAAAGATCGGTTGAACTAGGGAATTTGAATTCAATTCTTGGTTCGTGAAATTTGTTTGAAATCTGATGATTTTCAACTATATTTCACGAAAACCGATATACTACCCGCGCCCGGCATGGGAGACCATTTCGGAATTGTGATCCCGGAATTCTACAAGTGATGTAGAGAGAGGGACATTTAATTATTTACCACTCTTAAGACATGCGAGTTAATGATTTGTCACTCGATGTCTATGACATATGGGCCTTTATATGTTTATGATATGTGTTCAGTGGCAAAATCTTCTAGAACCACTCGTAAGAGTGGTAAATAATTAATTATTCCGTAGATAGAAGTGTTGAACCGTCTAATCTGTGCCATGCGATAGTATGAGCATTTGGGCTATATGACATGCAAATGCAATCCACATTACGAATGTGTTGGCCCGTTACAGTTTCACGTGAGGCCATGTGCTTTTTATGGCCGGTGAGGCCCAAGGGCTAGGATCTCATCAGACGATTCTGGGCGCCAAAAACATTTCATTTTTTAAGTAGCAGAGAGCCAGAGAAACATTTCATTGTACTGTTTTTTTTTCTAAGAAACTGTTTTTTTAGAAACTTCATTGTACTAAGGGTTTTTTAGACCTTCATTGTACTGTTTTGATCACCGACGGTGGCTCAATGAAGTTTCTAAAAAAAACAGTTTCATTGAAAAACCTCAAATTGGCCATATCGTTCCGTTCGAATCAGGGATTAAGCTAATGGCACGTAAAATGAGACAAGTCATTAACTAACTCACAATTAATTAACCAGAAAATAGAAACTTTATGTTAACTAGGAGTAGAAATTTGGCGCACCTGTTGGTGAGCCTGTCAAATTTAGCCCGTTTTGTATTACTTAGAATTATCATATAAATACCACACTTATCCTTTGTATTACTTAGCCAATTTAGCCCGTTTTGTAATTAATTTCAGAAAATATCTTATATTTGTGTGCCATTTTTTGTTGTTAAAAATATATTTGTTTTTCTTTCAAACTATAAATACCATACCTTCCACTGTGTTTGTAATTCTACTTTGTGATTATAACTCCCATTGTACTTTCACTGTGCTTTTTATGGAATTAGTTCAACTCCCATTAAATTTCTTCTAAGACTTGGAAGGAACACTTGATGGGTTATTAATTTGTAACTTAACACGTAATAGTAGATTTCTTTAATTGAAAAACCTCAAAATTCCCTTCACTAGCTCTCGTGAATCTAAATATTGGGGTTGGATCGATTGGGGCACCTTCCATATTCTTATTGGAGCTAGTGACATTCTTCCACATCGCATTTGTTCCCATTCTATTTATGTAAATCTCCTTCAGAATACAATAACGGAACACTAAGCAGTAAAATAATTAGTGAAGGGAATTTAGCTTCCAACTTTAACCTATATGATATATCGAGGTTTTCTTATTATTCTTGGAACCAGAAATCTTGACATTTCCCCTATTCAATATATTCTATTTTTTCGCATGAAAGATACAGTATAATTTTCAATAGATTTTTTAGTGATGTATGGAAGATAGAGAGTTTAATTTCTCTTCAAACATACTCAGGCCCCCTTTTATTCAAAGGAATTTCATAGGAATTTTAGAGGATTTCATTTCTATAGGAATTTTTACTACAAAGCCCTTTGAATCAAAGAAATGGACCCTATGGAATCCTATGAAATTCCTATGGAATGCCTCTTCCCATACAAGTTTTGAAGGAATTTTATCAAGAGGTAGAACCTCATAGAAAAAATCCTTTGAGTCTTTATCTCTCCTTAAATTCCTGTGTTTTTCCTGTGGTCCAATCAAACGGTCATTCCTACGTTTTTCCTGTGTTTTGCAATCCTCTGTTTTACACTTACATTCCTGTCAAAATCCTATGTTTTTCCTATTCCTCCGTTTTTTCATTTCTGTGATTCAAAGGGGCCCTCAGTGTTGGACTCATTTTGTTTTTTTTCATCATCTCAAACATAGAGACGTAGATAAAAATACTTGCTATATGTATGTGATTTATTAGATGTGATATTAGTAATTTTCAAGCAATTCAAAACGAAATACAAGCACTATATTTCTTTTCTTTTGATATTATTTTGTCGACTTCAATTGGGAACTTTTAGTAGAAGTTGATGGAGATATATTGTTGTTGTTGAAGCGCAAAGGAAACAATGCAAGAGAAGAGTATTTGGGACTTGTAGCCTAGAAGACTACAGAAGTCTGTGCTCTCAAAAGTTTTTTTTTTTCATATGACCTTTTTTTTTTACCTTAGTAGAATCCAAGATTTATCTCCAAGGTAAGCATGCCACGTGGTCCAATCATTTTGAGGGCAAGGCGCCGGCTTGAGAATGTTAGCTTTCAATTTCCCTGCAAACCGGACGTCCCTGTCGATGATGCAGTGTTTTACATCGTTTTGGCCTTTGGCTTTGGACTTTGGCCCTGTTTAGATACCACTAGAAAATTTTACACACTGTCACATCAAATATTTGAACACCTATATAAAGTATATTAAATATAGTCTAAAAAAATACTCCCTCTGTCCCAAAATATAAGAGATTTTAGAGGGATGTGACACCTTATAGTACTACGGATCTGGACAGGCTTTTTATCCATATTCCTAGTACTAGGAAGTGTCATATCCCTTTAAAATCCCTTGTGTTTTGGGATAGAGAGAGTAACTAATTGCACAGATTGCGACTAATTTACGAGACGAATCTTTTGAGCCTAATTGCTCCATGATTTGACAATGTGGTGCTACAGTAAATATTTATTAATGACAGATTTATTAAGCTTAATAAATTTGTCTCGCGGTTTACTGACGGATTATGGATTATATAATTAGTTTTTTATTAGTATCCAAACACCTCATACGACATCTTATATAATATCTGATGTGACACTTTAAAATTTTACACATCCCTACATGTAAACACCCCTTTATTGTGGAAAAATTGAGTGGCTGCCAAATGAGTCATCCTTTGCCGATGATATCTTCGTCAAATTAACCACCTTGTGGCAATGGACATGTTGCAACCAAACTCAGTACGTGCCTGCGTACGAAGCGACCTAGATTTTGACATGGCGGGGCAGCAGGAGCAACCGGAGATGGCGCCGCCTCCGCCGCGGCGGCGCGTCGTGTGCGTCACCGGCGCCGGCGGGTTCGTCGGCTCGTGGCTCGTCGAGCTCCTCCTCTCCCGCGGCTACGCCGTCCATGCCACGGTCCGTGACCCAGGTATATGTATAAGCTGTTCATCTCTTGCTCATTTTTTTTTCTCTTTTCCCAATCTTTGTACTGCATCTTTCTCGTCGGTTTCGGGGTTTCCTAGAGCGGTAACGGTGCAAAATGGAGAAAAAATGGACAAATTTTATCAAGTTATAATTTTTTAAGAAAAATTAGTTGATATGTCTGCCCCTGTTCTGCTGCTATACTGCTGCAGCTGCTGACTCTATTGCAGTCACGTTGGCTACTTACAGCCGTCAAATCAAGTTTGATGCCGAGATCAATCGCTACAGTAATTCCAATAAAGTAACTCGGTGATTTTTCGCTGTTTGCTAGTGTAGCAATGGCAAAACACTGTAGCACTACTCACAATTCACTGTTCCCCTCTGCCATTTACCCCCTGATGCGAACCCACCAAACAGACCCTCTGGTGGTTACCATTACTGTACACAAACAGTAAACCCAATTACCGTGGGTAACCGACGGTAAGAAAACTCATCATCTATTGCAAAAGATCAAAGAGCAAAGGAGGTGTTTTTTGACGGCTTAATCATCTGCACAATATGGGTGGAATTTGGCTTCAAAGATATCGAGTTTTCAATGGTGCATATGGTTCAGTGCAACAAGTAGTAAATTCCATCATCGCCATGTGCAAAGCCTACCAGGAAGCAAAGTTTGGTTAGATGTCTTTACAACTGTCTGATACTGTTAGTTACTTTGCATTTTCTCAAATTACTTATGCCCCTCACCTCTTTTAGTGGCATCTCTTTGTGTCACCCTGTTGGTTTGTTGGAACCATGTATGTTGAAATTTTGTTTTCTCTTGTATAATTAAGATTAAATTTCACTTCAGGCCACCTTTTGTTACCGATGTTTCACTTTGGACCACCCTTTAAGCAATATTTTCATTTTGAACTGGGTAAAATTGCCTTTGTTTCACTTTGGACCACCCAACTCTCTTCTCAAGCATATGAACGATCTCGATTACGCCGTCTCCTACTCGTCAATGAACTGCCACAGCTATATGTAAGACTATTTCTTCGACATATTACAAGTTGGATGTAGATGGATAAAAGAGTGAAGGTGGTCCAATGTGAAATAAAGGTAAAAATACACGGACCAAAGTGAAAACATTGGTCCTAAGGTGGTCCAAAGCGAAACATCGGTAATAAAAGATGGTCCAAATAAAATTAACTCTATAATTAAAATGGCAGAGCTGCCCGTTCCCTCAGAAAACAGAACTCATCTTTAGGTGCTCATTTTTCTTGTTCCCCTTTTGGATTGTGTTTCTCTTTTTCTTGTTTCAGACGATCCCAAGAACGCGTTTCTGAAGCAACTGGAGAATGCTCCGGAGAATCTGCAACTGTTCGAGGCCGACGTGCTCGACTGCGGCTCACTGACGGCGGCGTTCGCCGGCTGCGAGGGTGTCTTCCATCTGGCCACTCCGGTGCCGGAAGAAAAGATCGTTGATCCACAGGCAAGTAATCTATCTCAACAACCCAAAATCCTCTCGTGTTTTTGTCCCTCTGCAATCTGCATCTCTGCTTATCTTGTGTGCTAAACACGAGTATATATTCAGAAGGAGATGATGGCTCCTACCGTGGAAGGCACCAGAAATGTACTCGAGGCTTGCTCAGCTGCGAGCGTTCAGAAACTCGTCGTGGCCTCCTCCATTGCTACTGTTTGCCTTAACCCGAGCTGGCCTCAAGATATGCCGAAAGATGAGACTTCCTGGTCAGACAAGAAGCTCTGCATTGAAAATGAGGTTAGAAATCGCCAAATTAAGCACCAGGCATCCATGATCCATCCCAGAACACATGTTAACACCAGTGATTGCAACTTCGGTTCGAAATTTTTGTAATTTTGGACCCCACCAGCAAATCTATGTATGAACCGAAATTTTTTTTCAGTGCTACCGAAATCACCCAAATCGAAAGTGTAAACCCTGGTTAACACGTGAATGTGCACCTGAAATTGTTTAGATGTATCTAATCCTTTTATCCATGTAGTACTAATTAGTTCTTCAGCTCTTTTTATTTTGTGAGAAGCATTAAATAATTAAGTACTCCATCCGTTTCACAATGTAAGTTATTCTAGCATTCCCCACATTCATATTGATATTCTAGGCATACATCAATATGAATGTGGGGAATGCTAGAATGACTTATATTGTGAAACGGAGGAAGTACTTCTTGCTTCTTTGGACTAATATACTACTCTTCACTTGGTGTGTTGGCACTTGGCAGGATTGGTACTCTGTTGCCAAAATCGAAGCTGAAGAGATGGCCCTGGAATACGGAAAGAAAAATGGGCTTCATGTACTTACGATTTGTCCTGGAATTGTTTTTGGCCCAATGTTGCAGACAGTGGAAATCAACACAAGCAGCAAAGTGCTCCTCTATATGATTAAGGGTTCACCATTTTAATTCTTTGTTCTTTACAGATGATTGGACATATTATGGTCAAATATGTAAAAAGGGGCGAATTAAACTTTTATATGTTGCAAACTAAAAAATAGCAGATACAGAAATTTTTAGAGAAATTGTAGTTTGAAAATTCATGGAACGCAAAATCCATAACTCCATAATCTCCATGGGACAGATTCTTATACATGATAGTTTCTATAGCATTCCCTCCCCGCTGCTAACTATTTCATCCGTTTTAAATTATTTATCGTTTTATCTTTATCATGAGTCAAACATTTTTAACTTTAATCATAATTTTTTAGAAATTTATATAGTTTAAAAATATCATAATATTTATGTATTTAGATTCACCATAAGAAATACTTTCATAATACATAATTTTATATGCTGAAAACTATATAAACTTCTAAAGAAAATAATCGTCAAAGTTAAAAATATTTGACTTTGGACATAGCTAAAACGACAAATAATTTAAACGGGGAAGCACCAAGGATCTAAGAGCAAGTATAAATACTTCAACCTTCCAAGTTGATTTTAAATCTTGGACTTTGGTTTTAAGATTAATTAGTTTGATTGGAATGCAGGAGGAGACGGCCCTCACGTTATGAACAACAAATTCTGGCCCATGGTAGATGTCCGTGATGTTGCTGATGCTTTACTTCTAGCATACCACAAGGCAGGGCCATCTGAGCGGTACTTATGCACTCTAGAACAGATGGACCTGAAACATTTATTGGATCTGATGAAGAACATGTACCCTAACTACAATTATGCAGACAAGTAAGTGAAATCTCCTTATCATTGTGATCAGCATCATCCTATATATAATACCAGAGTTAGTCTCAACTCTCAAGGGTGTTTTGTGCAATTGTGCTCACGACATGAACAAGATTAGTTTGAGCAGCAGCTTTGTTGTTTGACAGGATGGTTGATGTGGATTACAAGGTCGAAGTGACATCAGAGAAACTGAAGAATCTGGGCTGGAACCCAAGGAAACGGGAGGAGACACTTGCGGACAGCATCGAGTTCTTTGAGAAGGCAGGCCTTCTAGATGGGCGACCTTGCCGGCTTCCCTATTTCGCTGTCCAGGAATGAACTGAAGATGGCCTTGGTCCCAATTCTCAGCTAATTAATCTTCCCCATTTACTAGTATGGATGCACCTTGTAAAAAAAGTTAATGCATGTTTTTTTTATGTATCTTGTACTGATACTTAGGAGGCCGGTATCATGTATACTTACAAAAAGTTGATCATAGCTACAGTTAATACCGATTTTTCTTTCATGCAGCCATGTCATATTAACAGTCCCATTAATTGCCCTAATAAATCAAAGCTAAAGTTAAAATTTAACTTTTCAAATTTAATTTGAAGTTAATTTTAAGATATTTTTAATGTGGTTTCTTTTTTACATTGATCTTTAAGTCATTAAAAACATATATATATATATAAGTTTTACCTATAAATTAATGTTTATTCGTAATAAACCGTTTTGACTTATCAGATAATATGAGTACCCGATGAGACCTAAATTATAACAACCGTTGGATGTTACTTTTGCATCTGGCTGTAATTAGCATGTACTGAATCACCAAGTTGCGGGCTTGCGGCTATCTTTAAGCCCTATCACCGTCAGTGGCAAGGTTTGCACCCCGGCGTCGTATCCTGCCCAGAAGCATCATTGATTAATCCACCTTAAGATATATCGGGCAGCATTCTTGGATAATATATTATGACTCCTCAGGAAAAAAAAATCTAGAAAAAAATGTGACCCCTTCATAACAAATCTGGATAAAGTGTTGTTTAAATTCGTTGTACTAGGAAGAGACAATCCGAGACGATCCTCTAGATTGTCTTTTTTTTTAATGGAGAGAGTATGTGTGAGGGACAAGTAGATATTTCTTCTCTTGCCCTCTTACTGTACAACCCTTCGCCCCGGTGAAGTCTGGGAGCCTATGGGTGTTCATATGTTTGGAGACGGAGGTAAGTGGTACGTTTGCGGGTCTATCATAGATTTTGGTGATGATCGGTCACACATAGTGACGATCGACCCAGTGCCATTTCTTTTCTCTGTTATATGTGTAGGCACCATTAGTGCATGGTGATGGGGAATATATCATCTAAATTAACAAATTCCCAATGAAATATTATATGCAGGTACTATTTAGGACAACTACAAATGTGTGATGAGAACAAGGAATCTAGAGACAATTAATGGTCATACAGACATCTGTCAACTTCAGATGGAGGTTTACAAATAGACTTGAATAAATGTTTATCTATTTTGTGTTGGTATTATTATTTCTTGTATAGTCCTTGATGTTTTTTATGCTCTCCGTTCAGTGAATTATGTAATAAGTTGCTGTAACTTGTTTGAAGCAAAGACGGAAAATCTTTTCATCATCTAAAAAATTAAAATAATTGACAAGATAGATTAATATTTGGTATATCACTTCACAACATGTAAATTCAAATTAAACTCTAGCTAGTATGTGTATATTCACATACATATGAGTATTTTGTTTTTTTTTTGCAATATAAGGATGTTAAATTTATACGTGTATATTTAATTTGTGAAGTGATATATCACATATTAATTATCTTATTAGAACTTATTTAAATTTTTATAATTATTTAGATGACATATATACAGCAAGAAACAAGGGAACATCTTCTGCAAGGATAAAAGCTTTTTTTTCCCCCACGATGGTGTGCTCTTTTTTTCTTGATTATAACCTTCCGGGGTAGTTTTATATATCCTTTTTATGCCATATCCATATGAAAGATCGCATCGTGCAAATTGGACATCCTTGTGGATGTACATAGTTTATGGCCAATTGGACATCCGTGTCCTGGTGGCATTGGACTTGAAACAAATTCTGTGGCTGCAAATTAGAAATGTCCTAGTCGATGATGTGTGTACATTCGTACACTTCATATACCCCCGTGGCGATGGACTTTGTTGCAACTTGCAACCAAATTCTGTGGCTGCGTGCGTACGAAGGGGCTTCGATTCCAATCTGATCAGAGCGGCAAAGTTCAACCGGAGATGCCGCCGCGGCGCGTGTGCGTCACCGGCGCCGGCGGGTTCATCGGCTCGTGGCTCGTCAATCTCCTCCTCTCCTGCGGCTACTTCTTCCACGGCACCGTCCGCAACCCAGGTTTGCTGCATCTTGCTTTAAACTAGGAAGTATATCATCTTGGTGTGATTAATTAGATGTGTTTTTCTTTTTAATCTCCTCTTGTTTTGCTGTTCCAGATGATCCCAAGAACGCGTTTCTGAAGCAGCTAGAGAATGCCACGGAGAATCTGCAGCTGTTCAAGGCCGACGTGCTCGACGGCGGCTCGCTGACGGCGGCGTTCGCCGGCTGCGAGGGCGTCTTCCATCCGGCCACTCCGGTGCCGGAAGAACAGATGGTTGATCCAGAGGCAAGTATATATCTATGCACACACCATCTGAACAACCAGAAACCTCTCGTGATTTTGCTTTCTGCAAATCTGCATATCTCTGCTGCTGCTGATGATGATGATGATGATTCTAAACACGATTTCGAATTCAGAAGGAGATGATGGCTCCTGCTGTGAAAGGCACCAGGAATATGCTGGAGGCTTGCTCTGCCGCAGGTGTTCAGAAACTCGTCGTGGTCTCCTCCATTGCTGCTGTATTCTTTAACCCGAGCTGGCCTCATGACAGGCCAAAAGATGAGACTTCTTGGTCAGACAAGAAGCTCTGCATGGAAACTGAGGTCAGAAATTAATTTGCCAGATTAAGCAACTTAAGGCATCCATCAAATGATCAAATCCCCATGTTAACACATGAATGTCACCTGAAATTCTTTAGTTAGACATGTCCAGTCCTCTCTTCATGTCACCTTCATCATACTCTCTTCTCTTCTTCGTAATTATAAGTCATTTTGATATTTTTCTTAGTTAAGCTTTGTTAAGTTTGATCAAATTTATAGAAAAATTTAGCAATACATAAAACACCAAATTAGTTTCATTAAATCTATCATTTGGATGTATTTTGATAATATGTTTGTTTTGTGTTGAAAATTATAGCATAGCTTCTTATAAATTTGATCGAGCGTTGTTACAGTACAGCGGTCGGTACCGGTACCGCCCGATACCAAAATCCTGACCGTTGGATCTGGCCCGATCCAACGGCTGGTAGAGTTTGGTACCGGGCTGTACCAATTCTGTCCCTGTGCAGTATCACGCGGAGAACTGAGGTGGAAGGGCAAAAACGTAACTTTGCGTATAATAACCGGATCGGGAGGGATGGACGGGCAGCTCGAACCCTAGAAGCGTTGGGATTCTCGATCGATCGACGCCGCCGCCGCCTCCTGGATCGACGCCGCCGACTCTTGGAGGTGAACTCAGCCGTCTCTGGGAACGACGACATCGACGCCGCCGCCTCCGGGAAGGACGACATCGACGCCGCCACCGCCGCCGGGAACGACGAGTTCGCTGCTGCCGTCGACTGCTTCAACGTCGCCGCCGCTACCGCCGCAGGGAAGGACGACATCGACGCCGCTGCCGCCGAGAAGGACGACATCGACGCCGCCGCCACCGGGAACGACGAGTTCGCTACCGCCGCCGCTTGCTTCAACGCCGCTGCCGCTGGGAAGGACGAGTTCGATGCCGCCGCAGCGGCCTACTTCAACGCATGCCGGAATCCGCCGCTCGCCGCCACTTGATTGCTTCAACGCATGGCCGGCGCCACTCTCTTCCGATCCTACCCATGCCGAAACGAACGGCAGATGCGTACTGGTACCGAGCAGTACCAGTACCGAGCGGTACAATTTGCTGGACCATAAAAAATCTTAATTTGATCAAACTTTAATAAGTTTGAGTAAAAAAAAATCAAAACGACTCATAATATGTAACAGAGGAGGGTGTATTTGTTTTTTGGCGAGCATTATTAATCAGTTCTTAATTAGGACTAATACTCTCTTGCCAAAACTACATGTGTTTTTTGGCGAGCATTAATTAATCAGTTCTCTACATGTGTTGGCAGAACTGGTACTCTCTTGCCAAAACTGAAGGTGAAGAGATGGCCCTAGAATACGGAAACAGGAATGGTCTGCATGTTGTTACGGTTTGCCCTGGAATTGTTTTTGGCCCAATGTTGCAGACTGTGCAACTCAACACTACCACCAAAGCTCTCCTCTATATCATCCAAGGTTGCATGATTCTCGTTTTTTTTTCTACTGATAGTAGAACTCATAAATCAGTAATCAAGATTATTTTCGTTGATGATAATACTAGTAGTAGAATACGACTAACAAACATAACAGTGCAGGAGGCCATGGCCCTGATACAATGAACAACAAATTCTTGTCCATGGTGGATGTCCGTGATGTCGCTGATGCTCTACTTCTGCATATGAAGAGGTAGGGCCATCTGAGCGATACATCTGCGCACTAGAACAAATGGACCTGAAGGATTTGTTGAGTTTGATGAAGACCATGTACCCTAACTACAATTATGTAGACAAGTAAGTCATTATCTAAAGAAAATGTACAAAAGTAGGTGCAATATTCCTATATATGGCTGTGTCAACATCAACCTATTATTCCAGAGCTTATCTTAATTTGTACTGGTGTTTTCTACTGCAAACATGAACACGGTTAATTTGAACAGCTCATCTATCGTTCGACAGAATGGTTGATTTGGATTACAAGGCCGAAGTGACATCGGAGAAACTGAAGAATCTGGGCTGGAAACCAAGGAAACGGGAGGAGACATTCGCGGACAGCATCGAGTTCTTCGAGAAGGCAGGCCTTCTGGATGGACAACCTTTCCGGCTTCCCTATCTCTACCGTATGGCTGCCTAGGAATGAACTGAAAATATGTGTAATAATAAGTTGGCATCAGGCCCGATTATCAGCTACTTCCTCCGTTTCATAATATAAGTCTTTCTAGCATTGTCCACATTAATATAGATGTTAATAAATCTAGGCATATATGTGTCTAGATTCATTAACATCTATACGAATATGAGCAATGCTAGAAAGTCTTATATTATGAAACGGAGGGACAAATTAATACATCCTCTGTTTCACATTATTTTTTTTATTTTGAATAAATTAATATATAGATTCACGTATGTGCTTTGTATATTTGTCTAAAATTCATATAAATACTAGTGAATTTAGATGAGGGATGAAGAGACCAGAACATAAGTGTTATCACTCACCACCAGCTAGCACTACTCCTTTTTAAAGAAGTACAGATGGTACATCCACCAACTCTACTTATTGTGGGAAGGAAAAAAAAAAGACAACGTACTAGAGAGCTCACATATTAGTAACAAATTTATGTAATAACAGGCTAATGATATTTTTTATTAATTAAAATCCCGTTGCAACGTGCAGGCAATATCCTAACGTTTAAAAAATAAGAATGCAGCGTGCATGTTTTTTACGTACTAGCAATATCAAATGGGGCTGGATTAGGCATTCCTATACTATCTACTATGTTTTCTTAGTAACTCCCCTAGTTCAGGATGGGAACGATGAAGATGCAAGCCCTGATAATACAGCATATTAATGAATTACATAAAATCAAACTATGTAATTGGCAACCGATGTTTATTGAGAAAATGACCAATGTTGGCACAAACGGTAGGAGAAGGGGAGACGGCACCCCTCGCGTGGGAGGGGACAGGGGAAAGGCAAAGCAGCAATGCGGCGAAGAAACTAGCGGCATCGGCCAAGCATGAGTGTAGGACGAGATGCATTTGTTTGTGCCAAATGCCTCGCCTTATCCTGTCATCCATCAATACGACCTCACATTCATCCATCCCTTATCTTACAATGATAAATGACAGTCTTACCCTTTCATCTCCCCTTCATTAAGAAACATCACTTAGGCCTTGTTTGGCTAATGGGATAGGGAAATAATTTCCCACCCATCAGAAGACATCTTTAAATCATAATCATCCATTCTCCCTCTTCCCATTATCCAATCTCAATCCCACCCGCATTTTCCATTATCCAAACACATCCTCAAAGAATTAAGTGGTACTCCGTAGCTCAATGTACATACCTTTGCCAACTGTTGAATCCAAAGCAACAAATGACCACGATTTTTTACCTCCTCACCCTACTAGACTGTAAGAAAACTCATTTTTTATACATGTATTATGCATGAGTATGATGGCCAAACAAATAATTTAGGCATGAATGTGAGGTTCTATGAAACATTTTTCTCTAAAACTTGGGGTTTCTTAAACCAGGTTACAAAACCTAGAGTTTTGTTTCACAAATGCCCCAAAACAGTAAAAACCTATGGTTTGTTGAAATTTGCATCAGAAACACCCTGACTTCTCCAGAGTTGCTGGCGACTGCCGATTGACTTCATGCTCCACTCACCACCACATTTTTTTTTCCAAAAAATCCGAACGGAAACAACCACCTATCTATCTCATAAACGCGCCAAAGCAGATAAAATACGGTTTGCGATGATTTCTAGGGAGGAATTTACTTGGCCGGCCGGGATCCGGTCATGGTTTTCTTGTCGACTTGCGCATTAGAGATTAGTGGTGTGGTTTTCTTATCGATTTGTGCATTGGACACCATCCGGTCGGCCGGCGCCATTGGAGGAGGAACATGGCGGCGATGGCGTCGCCGCCGCCGCCGACGAGAGTGTGCGTCACCGGCGCCGGCGGGTTCATCGGCTCGTGGCTCGTCAAGCTCCTCCTCTCCCGTGGCTACGCCGTGCACGCCACCCTCCGCGACCCGTGTAAATCAAAGCTGCTACCCATTCCGATCGATTCGCGTGTATATACATCGTCGTTGCTGTGATTGAGCTGAGGGAATTTGGTTGTGTGCTGCTGTGTTTTGTGGTTCAGGTGATCCCAAGAACGCTCATCTGAAGCAGCTGGACGGGGCGTCGGAGATGCTGAGCCTGTTCAAGGCCGACGTGCTCGACGCCGGCGAGCTGTCCGCCGCCATTGCCGGCTGCGAGGGGGTTTTCCATGTCGCCTCTCCCGTGCCCGGAGACAAGATCGTCGATCCTGAGGTAAAGATCTCATCATTCATCAATCATCACCCCTGTGCTTCAGTTCAGGCTTTCAATTAAAGTGTAGTAGGATCAGTAAATTAGTGTAAGAAGACTATTAATAATTGTATTAATTTAAAATTAATTTGCTATAGCATTTGAAATGGCATTAACTCCAAAAGAATCAAAATTACTGTCAAGACTTGTCTGCCCAATCTGCTCACTTCCTTTTAGAAGGGTTTTTTTTTTTTTTTTTTTGCTTTCCACTTCCTTTTAGAAGTTGACTGCCATAAGCCACTGGCAGACTGGCTCACTGTTTATATTGATGTCCTGCTAACTGTTTGAGCACCAGTGATTCTTCATGGTTTAATCATAACATATCAGTGCAAATATCCAAATCATGCAGTTAGAAGTAATGGCTCCTGCTGTAAAGGGAACACTGAATGTTCTTGAAGTTTGTTCGTCGTCTAAGAAGGTTCAGAAAGTTGTGGTGGTGTCATCTACTGCTGCAGTTCATTACAACCCCAATTGGCCTCCAGGTAAGCCCAAAGATGAGAGCTGCTGGTCGGACAGAAAGATATGCATGGAGAAGAAGGTTAGTAATGTCAGAAATTAGAGCTTCATGTTGTTGAACATTTGTTTTCTTATTTTACTGAGGGAGGAACTAAAGTTCATCATTTTACAAAAATTTTTTTTTGAAATTTTCATTTTTACAATTTCTGTGTTTCAGGAGTGGTATAGTGCTTCCAAGGTTATCGCTGAAAAGATGGCTTTGGAATATGCAGAGAAAAAAGGTCTAAACGTTGTTACAGTCTGCCCTTGTTTAGTTTTTGGTCCACAGTTGCAACCAACTGTCAATACCAGCAATGAACTCCTCATCTATATAACAAAAGGTTTCCACATTATCTCTCCATTTGTTACTGTTTACTCTGAGGATTACCACTTACCAGATGAAAATTGTTTCATGCCCTTAATTGGGAAGTTTTCTGTTTTTGTGCACCACTTTATTTTATACAATTCATCCTTTTGACAGCAAGTTCAGACTTCAGACTGAAACATTTTCCTTGCCTCTGTTCAAACTGCGACAAATTTCATTTCAGGAGGTCCAAACGTAATGAGGAACATGTTGTTGCACATAGTAGATGTCCGTGATGTGGCTGAAGCTTTGATTCTGGTATACGAGAAACCAGAATCATCTGGCAGATATCTTTGCGCACCGTATCACATCAGCCCAAAGGCTACTGTGGAGTTTCTCAAGAACATTTACCCCAACTACAATTATGTAAAGTGGTAGGTCTCTGATCACTTCTGCTAATATCGTACTCCCTCCATTTCATATTATAAGTCATTTGAATTTTTTCTTAGTTAAAAGTTTGTATAAAATATATAGTAATATTTTACATAAAATAAACATATTATCAAAATATATATTCAATGTTAAATTTAGTGAAACTAATTTAATGTTATAGAGTTTGCTAATTTTTTCTATAAACTTAGTTAAACCTAAAGAATTTTGACTAGAGAAAATATCAAACGATTTATACTATGAAATGGAGGGAATACTCTTATGTTGCATTGGCATGGCTGTTTTTAAGAAACTTTCTTTGCTTATGCAGTAGTGCTGAAGTGAATGGCAAGACTGAAATATTTACACCAATTTCGTCAGAGAAATTGAAGAGCCTGGGCTGGAAGCCAAGGAAATTGGAGGAGACACTCACAGACAGCATTGAGTACTATGAAAAGACAGGAATTTTGCAGGATGCTGGTGGAAGACCTTGCGTTCTGCCTTACCTTTTTCACTTTCTTGTTGAGAACTGAGCACTTCAGGAGCTGTGTTTTCTCTGTATGCTTGAGACACTAGCACTGAATATGTGTGTGTGGGAATAACACAAAAGGCCTATCTTGGCACGACATATAACTTCCATCAATCCTTCAGTTCTGCGGTGACAGTATATCTTTCAGTACAAAGTAACGTGTTGTCGCCAATTAAGCTTATCCTGTTGTGCTCCTATGCTAAATGCGTACACCTTTCATCTCATAAAAAATAAACTTCTGGTTACTAATTTGAACATAAATTATATCTAGATTTGTAGCTAGAAGTTTTTTTCTTTTTAATAAAGAAAGTATTCACCTCTGAACATTGTCTGCTGGTTGAGATTGTCATTTTGTGTGTAATTTTGACTGAAAAAATATTACTTTGACAGTTGGTCCTCTATAAACCATCCTGCCTTCATTGGAAACTGTTACTTTTTTTCACTTATTTATGTTAAAATCCTTTTCTTGTGTTTCTCAATAATGCTTTTTTTCTGTGTGCAGTAAAATAGTGGTTTTGAAACTTTTCCATGTCTCCAAATTCCATAGAAACAAATATAACATTTATTATTACCTTTGTTTCATATTGTAAGTTGTTGTGACTTTTTTTTTCTAAATCAAACTTTTTTTAGTTTTGATCAAGTGTATAGAAAAATGAGTAAAGTGTATTGGCGGTTCTTAAACTTGTAGGGTTGTGTCATATAGGTCCCTAAACTCTCAGAATGTATTTCCAGGTCCCATAATTTGTCAAAGTGTATCATCTAGGTTCCAAATTAACACATCCCCTCTAGAATCCTACGTGGCGCTGATGTGGCAATGCCACATGGACGTGACGTGACCTTTTCTCTTTTTTTCTTCTTTTCTTTTTCTTTTTCGTTTTCTTCTCATTCTTCTTTTTTCCCTTTCTTCTGCACGGGTCACAGAGGAAGGGAAAAAAGAGAAGAAAAAAAAGAAAAAGGAAAAAAATTAAATGGGTCCTATTTGTCAGTCAAAATAATGTCACGTCGTGTCCATGTGGCATGCCACATCAACGCCACGTAGGATCCTGAAGGGGTTGTGGCAATTTAGGACCTAGATGACACACTATGATAAGTTCTTTGAAAGTTTAGGGACCGTCCGTACACTTTACTCAAAAAGAGTATTTTGATACTTTTAACACAAAACAAAAGAAACTATTATAATATGTTTAATGTTAGATATAGTGAAACTAAGTTAGTGCTATAAATATTACTATAAACTCAATTAAACTTATAAGAATTTTGACTTGAAAAAATCAAAATGGCTTATAATATAAAACGGTGGGAGTGCTACGTTTTACCTAATCCTATGTACACGTTTCTACTCGTTAGATGTTGTAGTACTAGAAACTCAGCGTGCCAATGATATAGCTTGTGCATATCTTTTTCATATGTTATTAATAATTAGGAGTTTAGAAAATATTTTAAATTTTATCTTTTTTGTTAATACTATTTAGGGTTCTTTTGTTGTGTAAAATTATAATTGAATTTTGTATTGAATGATAAAATATGTGATTATATTTGTAACGGTGTTATAGGTTTTGTTTGCAAATGTATAGAAATCTTGCTATAAACAAATACTAGAATTTAGGACTTCTTTGGTACAACTCTAGATCTAAAATTTTCAGATTTGGGTATTCGCAGCTCCACAAATCAATAGATTTGGATCTATGATTGAGTTCATAATATTTGGATAAGTCATTTTGTTTCTATTTTAGATTAAATTTAAAATTTTAAACCACTATAATTTAACATACAAACTTCAAATATGTCGTGTATCTAAGATCTAAAACTGTACCAAACAAAACCTTAGTACCGGTATCTATGCCGTACAGGGGCGGATCTACAGTATAATCATCGGTGTCAGGTGACACCGACGACTTTCGGCAAAAGCTATAGCAAAACTGTTTATCCATATATTATAACATTATGTTCTAAGCATAATTAGCATACCATGACACCGATAGACACGTTATAACACTAACGAACCAATTTTCTGGATCCGCCACTGATGCCGTAACAAAATCTATATTTGATGGTACCATAGTCTCACCAGCTCCACTGATAATTGCTCCTCTATTGAAAATATTTTAAGACCCCATCGATTCTTCTAAATTGGGAATTCCCATTGTTGGTTTGCAATTATCTCCTTTGTGTGTACGATAGATCGAGTGATGTATTATAGTGGCCCAATTCTCCTTTTCTATTGTTTTTCTTGACAGATCTTTTTTTCTTTCTCCATCAAGCCGAGTGTGGGAGTCTGGAGATGGTTTGGCAAAGTGACCACATCTCGGTGTCATTTTTTTCTCTCAATAAATCCCGATATTTATTTGCAAAATGAAAGGCACCACGTTGCCCGATCAAAACTTGCAAACACTGTCAGCATTAGAGCAGGTGCAATAGCAGACTATAAGTCAGCTATAAACACATACTCTCTCCGTCAAAAAAAAGTAAATCTAGGACTGTATGTGACACATTAATTCTAGTACAATATGTTACATCCACATTCTAGTACACATTCTAGACATGTTCATATTCGTAGTACTAGAATATGTAACATTCAGTACTAAGTTGGTTTTTTATGGGACGGAGGGAGTATTGAGAGGATAAATGAAGAGAGATAAGAGCATCAAGTAGTCAGCTGAATGTAACATCCTGAAAATTTACTGTTTTCTAATTATGCATCATGCCAATTCTTATGTTCTTAATAACCTTTTTAAACCTAGGAAAATATAATTAGAGAGACCTCCAAAAATTAACTTGCGTAGAATCTCTCTTTGCTATTTAAAATATTTCGTGGTTTTTATTCTAAAAATTGATCTTATTAAACCGAGGTATTTACTTTGATTTGATTTTGCACCTTAAACCTTCTTTTGTAAAATTCCTCTATTTCAATTCAATTAAAAACCCTTTTATGAATTATGGTCCAAGAAACCTTCTTATATTACCCTTGAACCTAAACCACCGAAATTCTATTTCTATTGGAATTAATTGTTAACCCATCCTTTGATCTTAAACCTATCCTTTGATTCTCGATCAAAATATCCAAATTCCTCCTTTTGATCTAGCCGCCAATTTAATTCATGTGGCTTGATTTTCTTTTCGGCACAAGAATAATATTATTATAAATATTGTGAATAATTGCTCTTGTGCTAAGAAAATAGATTTTATCCTTCTCATTCAAACTTTCTATTAGCCACAAAATATTTCTCTAAACCCATACCACCCATTGTGGGGATAAAATCCTATTTATTTTCTCTCTTTATTTTATTACCATACTCCTAGAAATATATTCAAATTTAGAGCCATATTATTTATGGTGTTGAATTCCTATTTGAGTGCTTCCAAATAAATTCCCTTAAACTCCACCCCTAAAAATATTGCACTCAAATAAACTAGAAAATATCTCTTTTAGAGATTATATCCAAATATAATTTCCTTTCAATTTTTCCAATTCAAATTCTATTAAAAACTCACAACACAATTCTTTTGGGCCGGAATTCCCTCCTCAGCCCACCTTCCTTCTCAGCCCAACCAACACAAGTCCATATTGCCTCCCTCCTTCTTCCTCCTGTGGGCGCGTATGCCGGCCACAGTGCCGCTACCGCCCACAGTATGCACGCCGCCGCCGCCAACTTGTGCCGACGGCGACGCCGTGCCGTGTTCGTCCTCCTCCGCCGCCCAAATCCGTCGCAGCCGGCCGCGTCTTCCCGTCGCCGTCGCCGTACTCTATTCCTCCACGCCGCCGTAGCCATATCCTCCTTCGCCTCCTCCTCTGCGAACCGCCATCGGCAACCGACCTTCACACCCTATAAAAGGACGACGAGGCCGCCCTTTTCCTACACACCCATCCGAGCTTTCTCTCTCCTCCCATGGCCGATCGTCGACACCGTCGGTCGATCTCCCCATCCATAGCTCCTCCTCCCCTCTCCTCGCACCACCGGCTTTGCCTCCTTCCGGCGAGTCCATTTCACCCTTTTCCCCCTTCTCTTCCACCTTGAATCAACCCATATCTCCTAAACCGTAGATCCGATTCCGATGAAACTTGGGCCTAAATTTATCTAAATTCAAAATCTACATTTTGATACCAAATTTGCTATTTTAAGATTTTATTTGAATTTCCTTAATTTATTCAAATTTAATTTGAATAAATATTTGATTTAAACTTATATATGCCTTTCAAATATTTCCTTTTATTTTCAAAATACCCCTTTAGCCACTAAAAGCTGCCGGTTAGAACTTTACACCTTCTATGTGGACGTCAGTGCGATCTACCAGTCCCGACGTTGAACAGTTGGTTGTAAAGCCCGACAAAACCTAAACCTAAGGTCGAAGTGCTGCTCCTGGCACCTTACTCCTTAATACGCATAATGGTTGGAGCTTCACTATTCCCTCGATTTCTATAACACTTCCACGAAACCTACACCCACATCATATTCCTCTAGCCGATATACTGTCTATCGACACCGGCTAGAAAAGATATCAAATCTAATCGTTATGCTCCAGCAACGACGAGCAACCAAACCCTAGCCAATACCTTCCTAGTTAATTCCAGTCATCACCCAAATTCCAAACTCGCCTATCCACCACTTACCTAGAATTTATATATATAATATAGAGTTAGCTAATATGTTACCCTACTCCACATTCAACTCAAATATAACCAAACCCTAGGTATTATACTACCTAAACCTACCACTAGCCATATACCAACTAAACCAGTTCAATTATCCAATATACATTCTATCCCCTCACCAGTCAAAGTCTTCACATAAAGTATAAGCAACCTTAGTTGCTTAAACCCCTCTCCACCTTAGCCTCCGATCTACACATGAAATATTAGCTTATACCTTATAGAAGAGATAGATTATATCCTAAACCCTAGCCCTCCTAACCGTTTTTCTCTTTCTTGCTATTTTATGGCGTTTATTGAATTTGGTTCTTCCTCTTCTTCAGTAGAGTCTATTATATTTGGATGGTAACCTGTGGTATTTCGAGCATCGGATAATCAGGTTGCCTATCTCGGATTTATTTGCGCTGGAGCAAGACAAGTTATTATTCCTCTCCTTTGAGCATAAATGCCCTATATTCTATATCTTTATTCTATGCATTAGTCATTCATGATTTCGAATGCATAACCTGAACATAGGAAATCAGATATGATAG